AACAACATCAAATGACCTCAGGATGCATCCCATAAAATTCCGTGAATTTCTGACCGGGTCTGGACACCTATTAAATTGCTTCGATTTCGTGTATTATAGTCTTCAATTTTGAACAATTTTTCACTTTTTTAGACCCGGAAATAAAAATTGTTGAGATACTTCTCATGGACCCTAATACACCCCGGGAATCCATTAGGATGGGTAATACCATCCAATATACCTTCAAACTGTCAATTTACCCATTTACAACTTGCACCGATTTCATAAACTCGGGGCTTCCAAGGATATTTATGGCAACATATAATGATCTTAAATGGTTTCAAACGACATTATATGACCCTGGGGTGTATCCCCTGGTATCTCGAGACTTTTCGATACCGGGTCTCGAAACCTCTTAAATTGACCAAAAAACGTGTATTGTAGCCTTCAATTTTGCCAATTTTTTACTTTTTTTTTACCCGAAAACAAAAATTGTCGAGAATCTAGCTATAGCCCCCAAATACCCTCCGGGAAGCCATTTGGGTGGGTGAAACCATCCAATTTGCCTTTAAGCATCCAATTTACCGGTTTTTCTCACGGCAATTGTATTGGCTATAAGCTTTCACGTAAACGACTTATGGTTGTATATGGGTCCAAACAACATCATATGACCTCGGGATGCATCCTGTAAAATTCCGTAAATTTCTGACACCGGGTCCGGACACCTACTAAATTACTTTGATTTCGTGTATAATAGCCTTCAATTTTGGACAATTTTTCACTTTTTAATACCTGAGCGCGGGGAAATTAGGTCGTCGACTAACCTCCTCACGGCCAAACAAAATTTATTATAATCCTAAACTAACCCCTAAACAAGTCTAGTGGTAAGTTCGGAGTCGAACCACAAGGAACGGTAATGTTGGATTGTTCTCGATCTAATGCTTAAGCTACGCCGAAATCGGTTTATGGATAGTGGACACTACAACTACACTAACACACATATAAAGATCAAGATATTATAAAGTCTACTAGGGGCAAAGATCCACTTTGAACAATTAACAAGTTAATGGGAATCGATTTGATAATCAATCATGCAAAGAAAGAATTAAAATGAGAATTAATTACACTCAAGAGCAATCTCTCAAATTCCTAGCCTAGATCCCTCATTGACTAGGTGCATAGAAGAAATTTACCCAAAATGCAATCAAATATATAAATTCTAATTCACAATCCCTTGTTAAACTAGAACTAACATGCAATTAAGTTTGCTATCTTGAGAGATCAATCCAATCTAAAACAAACAACATGCCATCATCAATTCAATCAATTTAATCACACAATTATCATCAAATTTATCTCAAGTAACTCAATTAACCATATCAAAGCTTCACTCAACACCTAGTAGAATGAAATCTACTTAAACATGATTAACAAAGCAATTAATAAAGCATAAAGAGAGAAGAGAGTAAGAAATGCTCATTGATATAAAATGGAGATCTTCAAATCATCAAATTCCTCCTTTAATTATCCAAAATCCATGAAATCCATTGTTTCTCTCACTTTCTCTCTCCAAAATTTGAGAGTTTCTCTCTCTAAAAACCTAAAACTAACCTAAAACTACTGAAAATATGAATTCCCTCTAAAATGAGCAAAAAATCTATTTATACCCCTTACTAAATTGCGTAGGAAGCTCCGCAAAAGTCGAGCAGCGTGCAGAGGAGCGGGCGCTCCAATTTCGTGCACGGGCGCTCCTAGCTGCAGCAAAATATGGCAGAATCGTTCCAGAAAGTTTGAAGCGGGCGCTCCTCATAGGATGCGCGCCCGCTCCTATCGGACTGGGCAAACCGCTCAGCTTCAAATGAGCATATCTCCCACGTTTTACAACGGAATTGGGCATATGACCTGTCTTTGGAAAGCTCTCAAGATAAGCTTTCATCTCCAATTGCAATTGCCCCAAAATGTTTTGTAGATCAAAAGATATAGGCGTTTGAAGTTCGATCATTGCAAATCAAGTGCACATTTCTTCATTACTTGTTCTTTTATATTTTATATTTCTTCAATCTTGAGCAATGAACTTATCCAAGTGTTCCTAAACATAAGAATAAACCAATAAAGTTTTAATCTAATTCCATAAGCAACCAAAATATGCAAGAAAAGCCAAAATTGAGCAATAACGACATTTCACACGCAATCATGACAAATGTAATAAAACGTTATTAAAACCAAGTAAAAAGATATAAAAACTATGAAAAAATAACTAGAAAACTCTTAAAAATAGCGACATAAATGACACTTATCAATACCCTGAAATCAAAATTGCCGAGATGCTTCACATGGACCCTAATATACCCCTGGAGTCCATTTGGGTGGGTAAAACCATCAAATATACCTTCAATCTGTCAATTTACCCGTTTACAACTTGCATCGATTTCATAAACTCGAGGCAACCACAAACATTTATGGCAACATATAATGATCATATATGGTTTCAAACGACATTATATGATCCTAGGATGTATCCCCTTGTATCTCGAGACTTTTCGACACTGGGTCCCGAAATCTTGAAATTGGCCAAAAATCGTGTATTATAGCCTTCAATTTTGCCAATTTTAGCCTTTTTTTCACCCGGAATCAAAAATTGCCGAGAAAATACCTATAGACTCTTATACCCTCCGGGATTCCATTTTACCTTTAAGCATCCAATTTACCCTTTTCCGTACACACCACTTGGACTGGCGATAAGCTTTAACGGGGCGTTTATGTAGCTGATTTATTCAGTAATATGGGTCCAAACAAAATCATATGAACTCGTGATGCATCTTGTAAAATGAATTTCTGACATCAGGTCCAGACACCTAATAAATTACTCCAATTTCGTGTATTATAGTCTTTAATTTTGGATAATTTTTTGATTTTTTAGACCCGGAAATAAAAATTGCCAAGATGCTTCCCATGGACCCTAAAACACCCCGGGAGTCCATTTGGGTGGGTAAAACCACACAATATACCTTCAAACTGTCAATTTACCCGTTTACAACTTGCACCGATTTCATAAACTCGAGGCTTCCACGGACATTTATGGCAACATATAATGATCATATATGGTTTCAAATGACATTATATGATCCTGGGATGTATCCCCTGGTATCTAGAGACTTTTCGACACCGGGTCCCGATACCTTCTAAATTGGCCAAAAAAACATGTATTATAGCCTTTAATTTTGCCAATTTTTTAATTTTTTTAACTCGAAAACAAAAATTGCCAAGAAGCTACCTATAAACCCTAATACCCTCCGGGAGTCCAATTGGGTGGGTGAATCCATCTAATTTGCCTTTAAGCATCCAATTTACCAGTTTTCGTACACGCACTTGTATTGGCTATAAGTTTTCACGGGCCTTTATGTAGCCGACTTATGGTTGTGTATGGGTCCAAACAATATCATATGACCTCAGGATGCATCCTGTAAAACTTCGTGAATTTCTGACACCGTCTGGACACCTACTAAATTGCTTTGATTTCGTGTATTTGACTTCCGTATATCATTTTTTTACCCGCCAAGATTATGCATCCAAGTACTTCCATAGGTTTTCAAAGGGCCTTGGGAGTCATGGATGATGCCCTGAACCATCTCATTCATCCTTACTCACCATGTCTTAAAACAACGATGGCATACCCTCAAACGACAAAACTAGTTGTTTGTATGTCTTGTCATTGGGTGCACATGTCTTGTGCACATGCCACACGCCCCCTTGCACCATCCCACACCCCAACACTTTGGCTTCGTCACTTGTCTCAATCTACTACTTAGCATTTTAGCATAAAAGAAGCAACGCTAACCTCGTTTTCCAAAATATAGGTGTGTTTAGGGAATAGGATGGGGAGGAGGGACGAATCGAAGCCACATAAGGCTGAATCTCAGTGGATCATGGCAGCAAGGCCACTCTGCCACTGCAATACCTCGTTGCGTATTTAAGTCGTCTGCAAAGGATTCAATCGCCGCTCGGTAGGAATTGTACTACAAGGCGGCTCTCACGGCACATCCAGCGCGAGAGCTTATCCTACGACACGTGCCCTTGGGGGCCGACACCCCTACTGTAGGACGGCAACCGGCTGCGGGCGCATGAGTCGCTTCTGGCCCGGATTCTGACTTAGAGGCGTTCAGTCATAATCCAGCACACGGTAGCTTTGCGCCACTGGCTTTTCAACCAAGCGCGATGACCAATTGTGTGAATCAACGGTTCCTCTCATACTAGGTTGAATTACCATTGCGACACTATCATCGGTAGAGTAAAACTAACCTGTCTCACGATGGCCTAAACCCAGCTCACGTTCCCTATTGGTGGGTGAACAATTCAACACTTGGTGAATTTTGCTTCACAATGATAGGCAGAACCAACATTGAAGGATCAAAAAGCAACGTCACTATGTTCGCTTGGCTGCCACAAGCCAGTTATCCCTGTGGTAACTTTCTGTCACCTTTAGCTTTAATTTCAAAAGGTCTAAAGGATCGTTAGGCCACACTTTCACAGTTTGTATTCGTACTGAAAATCAAAATCAAACGTGTTTTTACCCTTCGGTTCCACACGAGATTTCTGTTCTCGTTGAGCTTAACTTAGGACACCTGCGTTATCTTTTAACAGTTGTGCCGCCCGAGCCAAACTCCCCCACCTGTCCGCCGGGATCAGCCCGCAAAGCGGACCTAAACATGCAATAAATAAAGCAAGTCCTACACTGGATGCAGCAGCTTATAAGAAAGTTAGACCTTCAACTGGTACATCAGTTGAGCTTAAGTGGCCTTTATAAAAACCTATTTGGAGGTTATGCACCAAAGTGGGTCATGTAGCTAAAGCTGTTGGTCTAGATTTTTCAGACTAACATCCAACTGATCCAAGCTGTTGTTTGGAGGGGCTTAGGGAGCTACTATGCCAAATAAGGGCAGTGGATGATATGTGGAAAACTGGAATTCTAGAAATGATCTATATACCAAATTTCTAGGACAAAGAAAATTGAGAATGCTTACATGGACCAATTCACAAGTTGCGTCCAAACAGATGATTCTTTCGGATTCATTATTGCTGCAATACCATAGAAGTCCATAGCTTTATGTTTGTCACCCATAGAATTATGTACAAGGCCAAGTGTATGATATGTATTAGATATATTTGGTGCTATCTGAACAACTTCAAGCAATATGTTGATTGCCTGCAACATAAAAAACAAGAAAAATATATATGAACGCAGAATACATTAGAGAGCTGAATACTATTTTCGAATAACCTATGGCTTTCTCAGAAAATTTTAAAACAATATAAAAAGATACAGATAGAGAATGTGGAAAAAAGGGAGGTGGTACATTGCTGATGTCAGACAGAATTTAGGTAAGCATGAGTCACAAAATAACAACACATGCTCAGGAAACTACAGGAAAGAAACAGCAACACACATAAATTATAGGAACTGGAAGACAAGAACAAGACATGTCGGAATATTGGAAAATGTTAATGATAACCAAATCAATCTGTAATTGGCGAACTAATTAGTTAAAGGATAATGCCAAATATATACAAAATAGACAAGATACGAACAAAATAAGCTAATTAAAAGGATGAGGGGACATTCTTCACAAGAGATATGTGAAATTTCTCACCAGGACACATTCCGCACCTCACCAATAAAATAATGGAAAAACTTCTCTTCGCATAAATTACTACCCACCAGTTTCCGCCTTTTGCATCAGCACAAAAGATTTCTCAACTTCCTACCATTGACTCACTGAACTTCCCAATTCTTTCTGAGGATACCGAACTCCAAAACCATATAAAAAAAGGATCAGATATTGAACCATCTCCAGTGAAGGTGCCTCATGTGCAGGCGTGCAGCTTTCTCAACAGCTTCTCCTGGTTACTCCATATAGGTAATAATCAACTAATCAAGGGCAGTGCTCCTCCAACAACACGGTGAAAAGTACAGGCTCCGCAATCAACAAGAGATGCTCCACAGTTTGTCACTGTTGGCAGATTAATAATTGTGCGCAACACTATTAACCATAGGCTATGCCGTCAACCCCCCCCCCCCCCCCACCCACCCACCACGCACACATACACAAATCCCAGACAATCTTTGTTATAGAGTTTGAGCAAATTTCAGGCCTACCTCCTCAGATCTTGAGGGTTACGAGGACCACTTTTCTTGGTCCAACAGCTTATCCTCTATGCTAGCTGAGGACTTTGGGGTACACATTATCCTTAAGTGGTTTTGTAGCATGAGTGTATGACAGCCGATATGGGTTAAAACCTGCTGGGTGGCTTGGTGGTACAACATAGACCATGGCAGTACGGCACAACCGCACAAGTGTAGAACACCCTACACATATTTTTTTCAGTAATGTAACCATGATGAATTAAAGCGGACAAGGCACAAACACATACACTGCTCCCGGAAAAAAAGAAAACTTCTTTCTTTAGCAGTAGCTAGCATAAAACCGAGCAAAACATACATCCTGATATATAAACCTCCCTGTCACATTCAAAACACTTTACAAGAACTCCCATGAGATTGGAGGCAATCCAAGGAAGCAGCAGTGGTGAAATAGTGAAACTTTCAGAGTACTGCATATTGGAAGTCATGTGCTTTCTCTAACACTTTAGTATTCATTAGCAAGTATATTCAGGGTAGCACTTCTATGCTCAGTCAAAAAGGCATCACACTGCACAAATAACAAAAAGTGTTTGTCCATTGTCATTCTAGAACAAACTAAGCAAAAATCTAACCATTATTATTAGATTGCCCCTAAAAACACCAACATAAATTTCAAGTAATTAACTTGAAATATAACCCATTAAGTTCCCTATCCTCATTTGTATACATTGCCAGCAAAAAGAACACACACACACACACACACACACAGAAAAATAAAAAATAAAAAATGGTTTATTTCATGTCACAACTTAAGGAAAATAAAGCAGAAAAGGAAAATTCGGTAGAATAGTAAATGATCAATTCATGCTCAATGAAATCAAGATACTGAATTGCACTTAAAATGTAAAAAAGTAAGACATACATCTTTAAAGCGTCCATATGCATAATGAAGAGCAGCATCACCAAGCTTTCTTTCAATTTCAGGACTAAGTTTATTTATTGATCCTTTAAGTCTTCCTCTCTTCTTAGGCTGAATAAAATTGTGTGAAGTAAGGTAAGAAAATACATTCGGAACATGATAAGATAAACACTGTACAAGGGAAATATCACAAAAATGTTCATACATCAAGATTATGAAAGATACACCTTCCTAGATCGTTTCCATCAACCATAACATGTATAAATAACATCCATCTCCTCAAGGGTTGCTCCAATAGATACCCCATTCCCGGGCTTCTTATCACACACTTCCCTGCAAGAAAACATGTAATCTTTTGGGGCGATAACAAGTAAAGTCAAAGATAACACATTTAGGGCTTCTTATATGAATGCTAGTGCTTTGCATATGTAGTGTATAAAAACGAAAATAACTAGTGTGAAAAATCAACACAAGAAGTAGAATAATCGAAATTCCAAAGGTAAGGCCTGACACATTAAACCACCAAAAAGAACTAGTAAAAAGAAACTTAATTCATAATTATTCCCATATATTCCTCCAATTCTATGATGGTTGAACATAGAATTGGAGCATTTCATCGTCCAGTAAATGATCTATATCTTTTGAGAATAAATTAAGCCCTGAAACTGATTGAAATTAGTATCAGACTATCAATTCATTCAATACATTATTGAATCCCATAATTATGCTTCTCAATTTAGCAACCAAATATCAAAGTAGACTAGTATTTATAAACAACAAATCAATAATCCGAACCCTAAATTGAGTATACTGACACTGAACGAAACCCTAGAATGTGAAATTGATATTCAATTACTAAAATTTAAAATTAATTAAATAGTAGCTAACCTCAGAAGCTGCTGCAATGGAGGAGAGAAAACGAAGGTTAAGGTTCAGAACTTCAGACTTCAGAGTATTAAAAACACCGCCGACTATATATACTTTCCGGTTTTCTTTTTTCCTTTTTTTTTTTTTTTTTTTTTTTTGGGAGGGTGATAGACTGATAGTGTATCTTTTAAATTGAACCTAGTATTGAGATTTAAGAAAACAAGTTTGGTTCTCATGATACGGCTCATTAAAGGTCGCAGCAACCTCAAATTATCTAGAACACGAGCCCATGCCAGGCTTTGATTTGATCAAAGTCTACGCTCTTACAGTTTATCTCTACATGTATAAATAATATTTTAAAAAGTTATATTCGATTATATGTTTAGAAAGACTTGACACTAAATCTTGTAAATGGGGACTTTAAGAAGACGAGGATAACATTGTGTTTTTCTTGAGTCACCATTTCCTTCATTAGGACACACTCCTTGATTTGGTGTCTTTCTACAGAGTAACAATTTAAGAGTACGAGGCTTTGACGTTTTGTCATCTTCTTTTGGTCATTTCAATTGCACAATTCTTGTAATAAAATGGTTGTATAGTAAATATTGTTTATTCATTGCAAAGTTGTCTAAGAACATGTGTTTGTAATTTGCATTTTGGATAGGCCTGTTGGGCTGATAATTGGGCCTGCTGGGGATATGGTGGGAAAGAAGCAGCTCAACTTCATATGGGCTGGTCCATACAAATTTTGTTATCTACATTTTTTTGAGGAACTATTTTTTTTTGTGAAGACAATATTGAGGAATATTACTACTATATACGAAATAATATCCCAACAAGGCCTACAATTATTGAAAATAAATCAACATATGTTATTTTTAGTTGACATGTTTTGACTTTTACACTATTCATAAATTATATTTTCATTAGTATCTATGATTAATTAGATTATCAGGGCACCAAAAAAGTACTCCGTATATATTTTCAATTTTTCGACTTTCTGCAATCTTATTATGGTAGTAATGTAGACAAATGAATTTGTTAGAAAAACATGCATGATATATCTCATGAAATACGTATAACCAAAATATATTTTCGGCTTTTTAACACATATATTATTGATAACTATGTTGATGAATTTGTTAGAAAAAACATACATGATATATATATCTCATGAAATCCATTACTACATAGCGTAATTGCATTGTTCATAACAAATGCTACATTTAGAGTACAATGATTAAGACATCCTTAGCTTGCCTATGTTTAGAAACTGATTACATGCAATATAATTTACAACTCAAGTAAAAATAATTGCAACGTCAATATCATATGTGTACTTGGGATAATATATATGACAATTATACTAAACTAAAGGTGACACTTGCTTTTAAGGATAATGGGAAATATCCTTTGCATGTTTGCAATGATACACATACTTGAATTCTCAAATTGAAATGAGTACTTGAAGCCACTTCGTTTCTCTGTAATTATTATCAAAACCTACAAATAAAATGGAAGGGGAAAATAAATAAAAAGAGCACTGAAAAGGTATAAAGCAATTGTGACCCACATACACTATACGGAGTAGTTCCTCTTTCAATCAACATTGTCGATAAATTATTACCAATCAAAGCTTGGTCTAGTAATAAGATTTGCACCTCATAATCTTGTTCGAGGATAATATAATTTGATAAAATATTATATAGATTGTAGTGCACCATCTTAACTTTGTGCTATTTTTGTACGATTGCATCCAACTAATACGAGTAGTTGATTTCTGTGCACTATAGAATTATTTTTTGCATGAAAATCCACTATAAGAATGGTGTAACTAAAAGTGGTATGTTTTGAAGCATGATGCTATAGTTTAATAAGAATTGGATTCCCCAAATTGGAATGCCACAAAATGGCTTATGGCCACTTCATAGAGATATCAACTTTATTTATGTTCTTCCTTTGAAAGATACCAATCACAAGTGTGCAATATTATTATTACGGGTTTTAATTTACAGAAAATTACCATTACACACGAAGAAAAGACGTTTTTTATAATTTGGAAAATTTTGTGGGTAACAAATGAACTATGTAAACCCAACAAATTTGTAAAACAGATGATGACATAGTCTTAATTCTTAAACATGTGAGCTAATTAAAGAAATAATCACACTATTGAGCATGTTGTCTTATACTCCTTATATAAGTTATAACCATTTTTACAAAAAATTAATTCCAAACCCCAAAATCAACGGTATGGTTAGGTTGACTAATTTGCATCCTAGACATAATTTAATATGAATTGACGGCTGATAAATACTTGAATGGCATTCCTAAATCCCCTCCTTAATTAAATTTATTATTCATATTCAAAAATCATTTTCTATTTTCTAATATAAAAGGTGGTGTACTTTCTTTTAACTTGCCGAAATTTTTGAGGAATCTCCGCATAAACCAAAACAAGTCATCCTGAACAAATCAATCATATGAATTAAAAAAATACTCCTTCCAGCACTAATTTCAGTGATATACAAGCAATACAGCTATAATGGCATTTAATATTAGACTATGTTTTTCATTAATAAGTATTTTTTTATCCCGACTGGTTTCCAATACACATATTCAAAAGGACACATTATAGAAAATTATTCAAATTTGATTGATACAATACATTAAAATTAAACAATACTATATTACTATGAGATATACTTAGAGCTGTCAATTCGGGTAAATGGGTCGGGTTTGAGTCGGGTTAGTGTGGGTCAGGTCATCTCGGGTCGGGTCAGTACGGGTTAATGTCGGGACTTATGCGGGTCGGGTTCGGGTTGGGTCATACTTGAGTCGGGTCATACATCTTATCGGGTTTGGGTCGGGTCAATAAAAGGTTGGGTTACATTCGGGTCGGGTGAAAAATAGGTCGGGTTACATTCGGGTTTTTGCGGGTTTAAACAAGTTAGGGTCCTGTTCGGGTTCGAGTCGGGTTCGGTTCAAGTCAATTATTTGCAGGTTATAATCAGGTCGGGTCATTATCGGGTTCGAGTCGGGTTCAATTCAAGTCAATAATTTGCGGGTTATAATTAAGTCGGGTCATTCTCGGGTTCGAATTGAGTTCGGTTCAAGTCAATAATTTTTTTTTTTTTTTTAAAGCTCCAAATCAAATTGTATAATTTAAAACATTTTTAAAAATATTAAAATAAACAAGTGAATACTAAAATTTCAAAAAAAGGATCAATAAAAGGATTATAAGTAGTTATATGGAATTTTAATTTGAAGATAATTTAAATTTAGAAAAAAAAAACATTTGGCTGACTTAATTAGACAAAATCACTATCACCGACACCTCACTCACCTCATATAGCCTCAAATACGTTTAAATTCGGGTTAGTAATAGGTCGAGTTTAAATTCGGGTTAGTAATAGGTCGAGTTTAAATTCGGGTCGGGGCAATAACAAGTCGGGTTGAATTTGGGTCAGATCAATAACAAGTCGGGTTGATTTCGGGTCGGGTTTGTAACATGTCGGGTTTAAATTCGAGTCGGGTTAGGAACGGGTCGGGTTGACCTCGAGCCGGGTTGAATTCGGGTTTTGACGGGTTAAATCGGGTTTGGGTCATTCTCGGGTTCGAGTCGGGTTTGATTCAGGTCAATAATTTACGGGTCACATTCGGGTCGAGTCCTCTCTAGGTCGGGTTATGGTCGGGTTCGGGTCTCAAATACTTAGGTCAACTCGGGTCTAGGGTTGGTTTCAGGTCGGGTTAGGTCGGGTTTGGATCACCATTTTTTACGGGTTCAGACGGGTTAGGGTTAGGATCGGGTTAGGGTCGGTATTTCGAGTCGGGTTAGCTTTTGACAGCTCTAGATATACTTAACAATATCACACGTGACCTATTTGAGATTATAATGGATGAAAGAAGGAAAAAAAAGCTTTGCTATGATTTTGTTTTTAGACTCAGATACCATGGAGAAATGTTTTAGGATGAATCGACTCAAATTGAATTAGAGTTGGTGCTCGTATGTTGTATCATTTAATCAAACTATCAAAGTAAATCATTAATTTAGCCAACATTAGTCAAAAAGTCTATTATCCTATGTTAAATTTACTTTATAATTCGAAAATAATTGTAGTCTTACGTACACTCATTCTAGGAGAATTAAATTTGTGGGCTCGTGAGTAAGCCCACTTAGTCACGCGTGTGGCTTATGAAAGGACAAAGCTACTTTAATTTTATCTTTGTGATCCAGTGCCTTTACAACAGAAAGGATATAGGACTCTTACCTTTGCTATTTGGGAAGGTGACTTGACCTTATATTCATTTGGGGAGCCTAACTTATTAGGGTTATAACCCTTTTATGTCCATGCAAAGAGTCATCTAACCCTTTAATTCATGTATTCTCAACTAATCATTTACTAATAAACCTCACTAATTGTATTAGTTGAAAGTTGAGGATTAGTTAGACTATGTAACAAGTTAATCAAAACAATAGTATACATTATTGTTTGGAAGCTTGATTGTTTATTCAATGTGATCAACAAGTAATAATATTTATTTTAGTCGAGTTTAATTTCATTGATTATAATCATGGATGATTCAAATCTCATCCACAACGTTCCTCTTAAAAGTAAAGTAACATTTAGCGTCAGGTATGAAGAAACTCATGTTCACTTCAAGTTTAAAGGGTTTTTAATCCTGTGAGAGAAACGCGTAATAAAATATAAAACCAGTTTTAATCTTTAAATATTATTAAGAGGTTGAGTTTATCCTTTAATTTGATATATTCCTTGTAATCAATAGTGTGCTTTTATTTCTTTGAAAAATGTTAATAATGGAGTTGATTTGTAGATTCATAGCACCTTGATTGAGGTATCAATATATGGATTGAAATATAATCTAAATGGGTCACTTTTAAGCTAATGACCCCTATATGTTTATTATAGTTTTCCACACTTTGAGTGATTAGATTAGATGGACAAACAACAATTTTGTAATTGAAAAACAAGGGGCTTTTTTTCATAGATGATATATCATGGCCGACAACCGCATCATTAAAGTATACATGGCTTTTTCTCTAAAGTACTTAATGTCTTAAACTTTGATAGTTGGCCCCATTAACAATTTTTTATTCTTTTGTAAATAAAACTTTGACATCTTTATTTTTATCTGATTTATTTATTAAGGGATACACAAAACTAAATGGTGGTTCTACTTAATTGCTCTTCTATATGATTCAATTAAATCTAAATTTGATGTTAGAAAAATAGTAACCTTTACCAAAATTGAAACAAGCTAAGAGATCCCAATAAATAATAATAAAAAAATTATAATAGTAATATGATGAAACGGAGGTAGTGTGTCACTGTTCACATGGTGTGGCCGCTTGTAAAACAACAAACTAATCCCCATAACACTGATCAGTATTCTCTGTAATACTGACCGAGTAACCTTTATCATACTAAATAGTATCCCTATAACACAAACGAAGTAATTCTTGTAATACTGATCGAGAAACCCCTATAATACTAATGAAGTAATCTTCATAATGGTTGGTCACATAATATGGCCAACCACACATATGAAAGTTTGTGTTAATTAATTACCTTTTACTTTATTATAATTACTTAAAACTAAAAATTAATATAATAGTGGATTTATTTTCCACCTTCTATCTTGGCTCCCTCTTTATCTTAATTTTAAGCTTTAACATTAAATAAAATAGGTGGAAGCTTACATTTTCTCCCACCAAATGATGGCCGACAAGAACGCAATTTATGAAAGTTTTGAATTGGGTTAAAAAATAAATTTGTATATAGTGAAGTGAAGGGGACCTTAAGAAAGTGTACCTCGTGGGACTATCATGTCTCCAACTT